TTCGAATTGTGGTGAGTTTATCAAGTAGATATCTGTTCCAGCTCTATTATTGCATAGAAAAAGGTTAAGTTATTTGAGAATATCATTGTACATAAAATTAAATATATTTATTGAAACAAAATTCTTACATTGGAAATAATCCAAGAGCGTTGAAAGCATACCAACTTCCCATTGCTCCGGAGTCATCATTTCCTATAAAATAGAAAACTTGAGTCAAATGTGGGATATGCTTTATTTAACACGAATTTATTAAATAGGTTTGTTTAAGGTGCATCTGTTGAGGGATCATTAATGGAGTGATAAAATAATGTATTATTGCATAAGCGCGTAATAACACGCGCCTGTGCGATATTTCGAGACCTGTGCGTTATTTCGAAACGCGCATGTGCAATATTTCGAATTATACGTAATAATAATTTTGTGAAAAAAGTTATTACTACTAAAAACTTCCTGTGACTTCACTCTGGTACATATGTGAGGCTCGTTATTATAAGATGCACATGTGTGTTATTTTGCTTTTTTGAAAAAGTGGAAATTTCAAAACAACGCCCATGCACGTTATTATGGCATTATAAACGATTAATTATAATTAATTGCCATTTAGCACTGCTTATAGTATAGTATCTCCTATGAAATAATATATCCTATGGTTAAGACGAGTGTACTACCTATGCCTACCATTCTAGTTCTTTAGTAACGGCTGGGAGTAAAGCTACACGTTTCATACAAATTGTAACCAAATCTAATACTTTGCTCTATACAAAGTATTCTCAGTATTCATAAGTTTAAAAACGAAAGTTGAATAAGACCTTAGGTGCTATAAGCAATGCTAAACAATATTATACGTGATAACTGAATGGTCCACTGTAAAAGCCACGTAAGGCCATTCAAAGTTGATTATTAGTTTAATGTTAATATTTTTGACTCAGGCACGAGGGAGGAGAGAGGAAATTTAAACAAACACATATATTCACAAAAAATATTTGTCAAATCTCATTGGCAACTTTAATCACGTGATTAACGAAGTTTATACTGTGCTGTGATTGGCTTGTTTAATTTCTGGGGGGAGATTTAACTGAGAGGGGGGATGACCTTGCCTAATAATCAACTTTGAATGGCCTAATAAATAGTGTTCGCCTAATTATCATATCTTATATTACGAACCTGGAATCCCGTCGTTGCTATTACTGAATTTAGTATCCATAATCTTTCTAATAATTTCCACACTTTTATACTGTTTTCCAATAAAATGATATAAACAAGGATGAAAAAAGTCAGGCTCATTCCCTATGCTATAGTAAGTTCCTAAAAATGTATTATCTGAGAATGTTTTGTCAAGTCTTATTTCAAAAAGTTTCGGACCTCCTGATAGTTCGATTAACTTTTTTACATCTTATTTGTTGTAAATGATATAGATCAAATTAGAATATTTCAATTACTATTAAAAGTGTTGTTAAACATACGCACCAAAAGGTACATCCAAACTATATTCCCATGACGTGCCCTCATAAAATGTGTTCCAACCTCCATCAAAATTTTTATTAATATACCAGTTCATATTGAATGATCCGTCAATATATCGTGGTAAAATAAATCCTTTAACCCCTATTTATCATGCCACATAGAATTATAATTAATAGAAGAATTAATGTAAAGATGAAGGGAAGGTACAAAAATTACCATCATAAACTTTATCAGAGCACCATAAATTCTCCCAACTACTTGCACGCTTTTTGTATTTTATAAAGTCATCGATTTTACCCAGCCCTTTAAAATTAATCACACATACATAGATATATGTGTACACATCAATACATTAATAATAATTAATTGGATTTTAAAAAAAAACAAATACCTTTAGCAACAAGGCTAATACTATAATCATTGGCACTATACTCCAAAGTTCGGCTACATTGGGCATTAGCGTATCCAGTTTTTCCATCATGCGGGAAAGGAATATAACCATATTTCTTATAATCCGTTAAATATAATCGACCTTCAAACAAGCCTTTTTCCCATGGATCTATTTCCGCATCTTTGATGAGAGCATTGTATGCTAATTCCCAATCTATTTTACCATTAACATCTAAATTCTTTAAATATGTTTCTGCCTATAATTAAAGGAAAATTGAAATAGTAGGGTGATTAAAAGAAATTATTGTCGATTTACATAAAATATGTACAGTCAGACCTCCCTAAAGCAGCTCCCCTAAATGCAATACCTCTCTAAATGCAACCTCAGTCTTATTCCCTAAATGCATGTTATCGAAAACTTGGTCCCTATGAGTTGCATTTAGAGAGGTCTAACTGTATTAATATAATTACCACGACCATATCGGCATTTGATCCACCTTGCGTCATCCCATTCCATGAACCACTTCTTCCATCAGGCATATAGCCTTCATGCACGTAAATATCGACTAGTGAATTAGTAATAGCTACGGCACGTTCAGGTTGGAAAAGTGTAAATAATGGATTTGTTGTTCTGCGCATTATGTATATTTATTAGTGAAATTATTGAAAAACAATAATAATAAATGACAATAATAATGATAACAACTATAATATTGAAATTACCTGAATGTGTCCCACTATTGATAATATTAGTTCAAAAAAATTTTTTTTTAGCGTTCATAAACTTTTGAGAATGATAAATTATACAATAAAAAAAAAAATACCAAAGTATAAAAATCTTCATAATATGGTATAGGATTACCCCTTTTATCGAATGACACCCAATCTGGATTCTCACCAGTTCTGAGAATGTAATAATTAAAATCATTTATCATCAATAGAATTATTTGATTAATAAAAAATCTACACACCTATCACTTGGAATAATCATGGTCCTATATAAACTACTATAAAAAGATTCTGTAGCACTTCTAGTTCCGCCTGAAACCTGAATTCTCCCCAATTCTTTATTCCAAGCCTTAACAGCCTCCTCCTTGGTCTTATCAAAATCCCAATTCGGTACCTCGCTTTCAGCACTTTCGCATGCTTGGTCAGCCGAAATGAATGAGATACCAACTCTAGAAACAATCACAGGGTTTTTAATAGTATCAAAAGTTAGGATCGCACCAATCTTATCAACAAAAGATACTCCAATATAATATGATGTGTTTTTGTTAATTCGATCGTTCCACCAAGTCTCGTATTTAGTGGCGTTGACGTTGAATTGGGAGCAGAAGTAGACTTTATATTGACCCTCATTATTCCAGCCACCTTTGTATTGACCTACTCCTTTTATATGGTTATGAGACATAGAAGTGATTGCAGCTCCTTCATATCTGGCACTATAATTACCATGTAAATAATGTATATAAATAATTTATGTAATGAAGTTAATCTAACAACAATGACGTCAGTGATATATGATATATAGTTTAAAAATACCTCCAACCAAGAGATAAAATATGGCCCAAATCAAGAATAACTTTTGCACTATTTTCAGCTGGTGGAAAAGTATATCGATGAACACCTGTTCTGCGACTAGCAGTTAACTCAACCGTGATTTGATAACGCTTTAATCCAAATTTCGAATAACCAACTTCGAAATGTTCTAATGACCTTTCGGACGAATAGTCATTTAATCTGAGTTTGTCTTCGGGTCGGTCCATCACCGGTAATTGACTTATTACTCCATATTTTGGTTCGCCTGATTTTGTTGTAAGTTAATAAAAATGGTGCAAAATGTTAAAAAGATTATTCATTTACTATTTTTTTTTACCTCCCGTTCCGCTAACATGCAAATCTATTTAAAAAATTTTAAGTTTCTGTATGTAAATATATGATAATTAAAAATATATACATATTTAATTTTATAGAAATACTCACGGGATATCCCCGTAATTTTTCCATTAGTAGTATATCTGCAAATTATGGTGAGAATAAATTATTACGAGAAGATAATTTTTTATTGTATACTAGAGTAGTGAATTGATCCGTCTAAAAAATCTTCACCCGGGTCACCCGTCTGGTGGACTATATGCCACCCGGGTTGAAACGGGTCAGTTTACAGTTGTTTTCATAAGTTCTGGAACAGCAAAAAATTTCTGATGAACAAATCGATAAGTTACCGAGTCGAAATCAAATAAGTAACCGACTTCTATTCGGTCATCAGCATTTTATCAGTTGTTCCAGAATTTATGAAAATAGCTGAAAAAAAGTTGCCACCTGGGTCACCTAACAGGTCACCAGATGGATCACCCAGGTTAATTAAAAAACAAGCCCAGGTGATTAACGTCCCGAAAATAATACGTCGTTCTAAAGTGATAAAAGTTTATCAATACATCCATATCGTTGACTAATCCAGCGGAGATGTTTGAAAGAACCATATTTCTTCATTTACATCGATAAATCAATTTATTGAATCTATTATGCCGAAATCACAAACTTAATTGAATCAGCAAAAATCATCCGGCCAATTTTTGTCAGGTGTCTCAGAAATTATTATAATAGCTTCAAGCAAAGTATGGATATGATAATAATTCTGGCTGATTTATAATATACTGCAAAACTATGAACCAACCCGTGGGCCAACTCACAGGTCTCCCGTGGGTCAACCCGCGGGTTGACCCACCCGTTTTCACCTGGGTTGCCATAACTTAGCCTCCACCCGGGTTAAATCACTATGCTAGAAATATAGCGTGCATTTTTCATTTTACACGAATTCATAGTATCATATCTGGAGATTTGTTGATACTTATGCATTTGATTACTGTGTATACTGTCTCGCAAAAAGTGTTGAAGTGCCAGTAAATGAATAAATAAATAGATTCACTATAGAAATTGGCCCAACTCCTTTTGTCGATTGATACAATTAAATAACCAATTCTTACCCCCCATTGAAATTTGATTTATCATCAGTATCGAAACCCACTTTGACAACCCCAAAAGGAAGACAAGGACCAGGGAACACATGCCCATCTAATATTGTCAAAGTTAAACCGGAAATTTATTGCTTAAATATCTGATTAACTTCGAAATTGACCATTAAATTAAACATTACCTCCAGCAGTTCCTATAAGAGGGTTAGCAAATTTAGCAACATCAGCGACAAGATCGATTCGATTTTGATGTTCAAGGATATTTGGAATTATGTATATTACAATTAGGTATTGAAATATTATAAGAGCTAAAAGTAAAAGAATCCTAAATAACTTTCTATTTATCCCATGTGGTCTGTATTTTGAATTTCGTAAAAAAAATAACCAATTTTTTTTCATTGTGATGTTTTTTTTCTTTCTGTCGATGTGTTATTTGCAGTATAAAATTTAGGATAAGACAAAGCAAATGATTAGAGATCAACTTGTTCACGATATTTATTATCCACGGCATTCTACCATATGGTGGAATTAATTACGGCACAGAACCTAATTGCCGTAATGCCCGGAAAATTTTTCTTTCCCTTATTTAGTATTTTATATTTTTTATTAGTATTATTCTTATTTGGGTATAGTCTGGGAAAGGATTATCGTGGCGATAATGGAGCCTATGACCCCGGAAGGAGTTAAAAGCTCCCGGAGGAGTTAAATGATCCCGGAAGGAGTTAAATGCTCCCGGAAGGGTTAAATGCTACCAGAAGGAGTTAAAAGCCCTAGAGGGAGGAAAAAGCCCCCAGTGAGAGTTTTAAACTCCAAGTTAAATTTTCAGATATAAAAAAAGTGGGTTTCAACTTTGAATAACTAACAGATATTTGCATTATTAGTTGCAGGGTATAATTCTGTGTATTAAGTATTTGTTGTATTTATGCTCAAAAGAGAAACAACAATAAAGAGAAACCTTTTAAACTGTTATTGTAATAGTCAATTTTTATACTTAAATTAAAACATTTTACTTATAATCGTCATCCGAATAACGTGACCCATTGTATCGATTTTTCGACACTTAAAACATAGAATATTCCAATCAAACCTGAAATTCTTGTTCAATATTTAAGCTAAACTGATATTAATTGCCGAAAATAATCTGATTCGGCGATTTTTGCGATATTTGATCTGACATATTAAATTAAGATAATAAATGAAATATCTAATTATTGTCGTGAGAAACCTTTTTGATATAAAGTCTTAGATTAAGCAATGAATGCTCACTTTTTAATATTCATGCTTATTCTCCATTAAATTGACAAATTTGCTTTTGTATATAAAAAAAATTATAATCCTATATATTTGTCTAGCTTAGGCAAGGTGGCAGTATAAACCTCTAATTTAAATGAATATGGTTGTCTTTCAAATTTATGCCCCATAAATTTGCGAACCTCGTTTATAGTAGAATAATGAAAAATTTTACAAACTAGATGATCTCTCGTGGGCCCGGCCCGACCTGACCCGTGATCGACACTGCCGACCCGGGTAGATGCATGACCCGTTTGAACACTACAGTATAGTCTGGTGATTTATGTATTTAGAAGAAAAAGCATCGCACTTTTGTTCAAAATTGGAATATCCGGTCTGACATGCCTTCATTGACGCAGTATATAGTGGTAATTAACAGTGATTTCCCGCCTGCATAATACAAGCTGGCCGTTAAAAATAATGAAGATATTCAGTATTTATAATTATGAAATATGGGGGAGCCCACTGGCTTCGGGCCAACCAATCAGATTTTAAGGTTTTATATAATAACTATATAACTAATAATTATCTTTATAAAGGTAATTTTTAATTATCAAATTTATTAATAAAAAGATATACAGTCGCACCCTCTAAGTGCACACCCCTCGGGACCATAGTGAAAAAAATGCAAAATGTGCACTTAGAGGAGGTGTGCACTTAGGGAGATTAAATTTTATAATTGTTATATAAGTTGGGACCAAGCAGAGGCGTGCATATTATGGGGGGTTTTCATATACCGTGCACTTAGGGAATGTGCACTTAGGGGGGTCTGACTGTATTGTATAAATTTAGTTTAATCAATTAATACTATATACGAGTAATAATCACATACCAATTTTAGGGTCCCTTAAAGCGGGGCAGATTACGTTATAATTAACCAATCAAATTGTTAAAATTTGATGATCCCGGATCAGCCCGACGAAGCAAAACAAGTGAAAAAAAGAGAAATATGCGAAAAATAGAAGAAACTGTAGTCTAAACAGGGCCCCTGAATACTGCATGGTACTATTAATTAAACCTCCGCGACCAATGACCATTTCCGTACAGAATAAATTTAAAAACTCGTACACCATACATTAGTTTTATGTAAAATCATACATTAAACTTTTTTATTAATATATAATTTCAGTACACTGAACTTTACATAAAAAAAAATTCTCAAGGCACTATAAATCTAGATTCCAACACTATTCTAGATTTTTTTCATTAAAGTTTAGCAGCTATAATTCTAGATTATATCCAAATGATTTCTTCTATTGATTTTTTATATAGTTGCAATTGAATTGCTAACAATGTTACATATCAGCCTAAAATGAAGTTGTTTTATTTTCATTAGTCCAAATAAAAAAATCAATGTTAGTTCATACTAGTTATGCTTGCAGAATACTTGCAGAATGCCAAAATTTCCCAGTATATTTTTAGCACATTCAACAGCTCATTAATATAGTTTCAACTATGATATTGATTTTTTTCATTTGGACTAGTGAATTCTGTATGTAGAGGTAAATATATATCACAAATCTGTATATGGTAGTAAATTTTATTATAGATCTGTACATAGAGGTAAAAACTAGTTTACTAAATTCTGTACTTGGAGCTTTTAGCCAAATTTCTATTCCATACACTAATAACTGTTGAACTTTCTCTTAAAATTGATACTTCCGTACAATGAGGTACTAATCAGTATATTTAGGGGCCCTGTCTAAACCCACCTTGCAGGATTAACAAAAAATATCAGGGAGGTAATTTTACCTATAGAAACTACCCTAACACTAACCCTAACCTAGTGTTCCTATGAACCGAACTGAAACCGAACTTTGGTCAAGTTCAGGTTCAGGTTCAGTTCAATCATGTTCAATA